AACTCCCACCATCAAGGAGTTCATAACTACCCAATGTAGTTATGTCTTAAAACTACCAAAGTAGTTAATTTTAAAATTCAAATTTAAATTGCTATCAATGTCACATAATAGAATATGAAGAGTCAAAATTCTAACATAGTTCTCTCTGTCGGTTCCCCGATTTACAAAAGAGTAAAGGATGAAACCATTCCTTTGTTTAAAACTGGGTTCTTTCTTTGTGGCGATGAGAGTTTGAGTCTTGTATCCCGTTGACGATCCGAGCACTTCAACTTTGTTGGGCGTTGGTCTTCTCTCCTTGACTTGACGCCTTGAGAGAACTTGCGAGGTAAGTTTATAATTCTAGCCGAGTTTTGAGAACTCTCTGTAAGAGTGTTAAGAACTTGTAAGACAAGTTCGGAACTCTACACGAGTTTGGGGGAGCTTGTTTGAACAAGTTGGAAACTCTCTGTAAGAGAGTTAAGAACTCTAGGCGAGTTTGAAGGAAACTTGTTTGAACAAGTTAGAAACTCTCTGTAAGAGAGTTGAGAACTCTAGCCGAGTTTGAATCCCCAAGAAGGGTTGATTTTAGAGAGGAGATCAACCTCCAAGAGAACTAACCCAAATGGGTTTGAAGAGCAAGCCAAAAGCTCCAAGAATGGCCCAAGAAGCCTCTCCAAGAAGCCCCCCTTTCTTTCTCTTCTTTCTCTCCTTTTCTCTTTGTCCAGCCCTCCTTCTCTCTCTCTCTCTCTCTCTCTCTCTCTTCTCTCCTTTTCTTTTGCTGGAGATCTAGCCCTTTATATAGGGCAACTAGGGGGTAAGGTACCCCTTAACTGGCCCTTAACTATGGCCATACCTTGATGGGACAGTTTCGAAAACTGTTCCTGAGCCAAAAACGCGAGGGTCGCGTTCTGGATCCCTCGCGTTCTGGAGAAAAGGACGCGGGGTGAACCTTGCGTCTAGGAACTGGAAACACATGCCGGCCTCTGCGTTTGGGATCTAGCAACATGGGATGAACCCTGTGTTTGGGATCCGGCAACACGGGATGAACCCTGCGTTTGGGTTCGGCAACGCAGGGCAACCCCTGCATTTGGGATCTGGCAACACGGGATGAACCCTGCGTTTTGGATTGGCAACGCTGGGCGACCCCTGCGTTTGGGATCTGGCAATGCAGGATGAACCCTGCGTTTTGCTTTGGAAACACATTGTGACCTCTGCGTTTGAGTTCTTGAAAACGCAGGATGAACTCTACGTTTGGTCTTGGCAACGCGGGGCGACCCCTGCGTTTGAGCTTCTGGGACGCGGAAGAGGGTTTCCGCGTTTAGGTTTGTAGAGATCGTCAATTGTAATCTCTTTCCTTTGACTTTTGTGCAGATTGTCATCGTGTAATCTTTACACTTGGCCCTTGTAGGATGTGAGAATCGTCAATTTGTAACTCTCGTACTTTGCTGTGAAAGTTTTCCATTGTAATTGTCATCGACTGCTGCGAAAGTCGTCAGATTGTAACTTCTGCTTGTTGATGTGAAGGACGTTAGATTGTATCTTTCATCACCTATTGTTTTGTGAGGATCGACCTTCTACAGTAATTTTTAGACAACGTACAACCTACAAATTTACATAATGCGGAGGGGGTATTTGCAAAATACACCAAACAAATTATAGAGATAAAATTATTCTCAAAATTATAAAAAAGGAAAATTAAAATAAACGGCTGCGATCTGAGGACAAAACGTGGCGATCTCTCACTGACTAAATTTCAAGTAGTTCACGATACTACATAATTAGTTTCAAAGTTTAATTATACTATTATTATTTAAATAGAACTTTGTATACAATTGTTATCCTCTAAAATGTAACATCACATAGCAATATACATCAGCTAAGAAATTATAACAATTTTCATAGCACTTTTATCTCCTTCTACAGGTATGCGTCTTTGTTATTTTCTTCTTATCAGATTAGATTGGATTATTTTAAAGTAATTAATTATATTGTATATTTGCTCTTTTTCATATCAAGAAATAACAACGATTTTCACAACACTTTCATCTGTTTTCTTCTTATTAGATTAGATTAGATTATTTTAAAGGGATTAATTATATTGTATGTTGATCTTTTTTTTTAAGATCGGAAATTATAACAATTTTCATAGCACTTTGATCTCTTTCAACATGTATATGCCTTTGTTATTTTCTTCTTATTAGAATAGATTATTAGATTAGATTGTTTAAAAATTATGACTTATGAAATTACAATAATTTTTACATCACTTTTATCTATTTTCTTCTTATTAGATTAAATTGGATTATTTTAAAGCAATTACTTATATTTTATGTTTGATTTTTTTAAAATCATAAAGTTTAATTGTACTATTATTATTTAAATAGATATTATTTATATAAAAGTCAAACAGAATCTCACACGTATCTTAGATCTCAATGCTAATTGTAATACTTACATATGAGTGTTGGTTAAAATAAATTTCATGTATAGGCTTAACTTATATGATCATACTTTAACCGGATTAGATAATTTATTTATTTTTGGGATCCAAACTCTTCCGTAAAACCAAAAGAGAATAGCAATATTATAGCTATATATATCCATAGGACGTCAGATATCTTGAAAAAGAATGAAGAACACCACACAAACAAAAACCATATTAACTACCCACACGCAACCACTGTTTTTATAACCACCATTCTCCATTTTCATCTATAATATATCCATATACCCAAATTAAGCTGCTGGAGTTTTCCCCTCACCAACTACACCTTTGATCAACCCTCCTTTTTTTCTTTGTACTTAAATTGTATAACATTCATTGTGATGAGGACTCACTTGGGTCATATGCTTGCCTTGAACGCCCAATAAAAAAATAATGTACTAGGCCTTGTAGTTAGTTAATAATAAGATCCTGTTATAAACAAATTAAGTAAAAATTAATAATTCTTAAGAATGTACTATGTTCTGATAGCTTCTACTGCAAACTTGTTAGTTGTTTATTTCCGGGCCCAAGAGATTTTCAAAATTAATCTTGAGGGTTGCTTGCGTTAAAACAGTTATGTTAGAGGGCCCATGCAGTCTGTTTTATAGTTTAAGACATTTTGTTTCTGATGCACATCAATTATGAGTAATAATATAATTTGATTGATCCGTTTTATAGTTTAAGACATTTTGTTTCTGATGCACATCAATTATGAGTAATAATATAATTTGATTGATCCAAGTATATCATAATATATTTTTAGATCTGATGCACATCAATTATGAGTAATAATATAATTTGATTGATCCAAGTATATCATAATATATTTTTAGATTGTTGTCTTGTCTTTTGCTCTTTATTATGTACCAACCTGATATCACAATTAATGATGAAGACCCTATTGTAGAATTGCTCAGGAAAAAGATAAAGGTGAAGAAGGATTGATCCCGACTCAATTAAATATGAAAAAAGAAGGAATAAAAGATAATATTTTTTGAATAATTTATGATAAAGCTTAATTTTTGGAGTAAAATTAGGAATCTTTAGAAGAGATTTTCATGCAAATTTTTTAATATGCTAATAATGTGAATGATTTTTTCATATAAAATTATACTAGAGTTACTATTAATCTTTAATATTTATTTTTTATTTTAAGCTTATTGATAATTAAGATGTCGTGCAATCTTGTGAAAAGTATGTGCTCTGTGCTGAGCTTATACAAACCATCTTAATATTAAGTATTTAGTTATATTTTTATTAACACATCAACAATATATTACTATATATTTTTCAAACTTAACGCTATATTTAATGACAAAAATAAATAAATTGGAGATCGATGATTTGATCCGATAAACAAATATGTTACATGAAGTTTGATATATACAAATTTAAAAAAATAATGTTGTATATGCAAGTATATAAAAGTATATTGATCCCAGTTTTACACACAAATCTATTTCATATTTTTTTTTAAAAATGTATAAATAAAAATTATGGCAAATGTGATAATCCATCTTTATAGATTTTAACTCAAAATGAATCTGACTTATTTTATAGTAAGAAAATAAACAAAAAATAAATAATTTTAATATTTAACCACGTGCAATCACGTGCATTGCACGTGCACAAAAACTAGTATAACAATAAAACACCCAGGTCAATATGAGGCTCAACCTTTCTTCACGAGGGCCCAATCCGTACCTTACTAATTGGCTGGCTTTGGGCCTATAAACTGATAATTGCGTATATATACTACTGTTATTTGGTAATGCATCTTCAACCCCTACATTCGGTTATAAATTTGTGGTGTGGATTTTATCTTCTATGTTATTTTTAGAAAAAAAAGTGCAGATTAGTACCTATAACCATCTTCAGTGACAAAAGTTTATATACTAAGGTAGCATTTACTTGACTAAGAGATTGGGATTAGGACAACATGTGGGACTGGGCCTAATCCCAATCCCACTTATTGTCCCAATCCTACTACCATTTTGAAGTAAACGGAAACAGTCTTAATATCCTCATGACTAAAAACTTTCCTCTTATTATTTTACTTTTTTCATTTGTTCCATCAAACTTTCAATTTTGTCAGCTGTAAATAATTCTATAAAATTTTTCTTTTCTGAGTACAGGACTAAGCTTCATGCTAAGCTTCATGCTATGCACAAGTTTCCAATCTTGCATGGCTACAAAAAAAAGTTAGAATAATTTACTATGCACAAGTGAAAAGGTTAGTTGAAGAGAACTAGACGATACCAATTTTCAAGAATACATTATATTTTCAAATTCAGAAATTAGCGAAAGAGCACTGAAATTAGAATCACATCGATGTACCTATTAAACATCATTAGTGTTTTTGTTACGGAAATAGCTCGATTGCATGTATTCAATTAAGCAACAATTTACTTAAGTTCATCTCTGGAAAACTTTCTTTGAAGTCCTTGAATCTAAGACGTACACATAACACAAATGTATATGGGCTATAAGTACAATTATTTTTGAACATCAAGAAAATAATTGGTAGGTAAACAAATACATGAAACATGACATTCATACGATTTCAACATTCAATGTACATGAACTACAAGAATTTTACAATTAAAATTAAACATCAAGTGATTGACATCAAGAAAAAAAAAATTGACAATAAAGAAAAAAAAAAAGACGGAAGCAAGTAGCTAGAAACTCTTCTCAATACTCATCGCTAATGTAGAAAATCATCACTGCATAAAAAAAAAGGCAACCAAATAGAATAGTTATCAAAACTTGATCAAAAGATACAATCAAATATATAGTGAACAATACGTAGGAGACAAGTCATACCTTAATCAAGTCTTATCAGTTTAGATCTCCGCCCAATAAAATCCTCACAAATTCATCAGTCCTCTCAACCTCCTCAAAAGTAAAAAATATATCAAGCCACTCATTGTCTTTAGCTAACATTACAGCAGCTTTAATTTGATCTCTGATGCTCAAATTTGTGAGCTTCATCATCTCCTTATTTAGGTTACTTCTTTTCTTACTCCACTCAAAAAGTCTACACTCATCTTTTCAGCTAAATTATCAAGAAATTTACCAAATATACCAAATTTGCTGCTGTTTTAGCCACATGAGGTAAGACATCCTCATTGCTCCTTCGCATTCTCTCCCTCTTGTTGCTTGTGCTTGAGATTGATCCACTATCAGCCTTTAACTCATCCAAACTTGCCGCATCATCTATAGGAAGTTTACATATTATATATTCAGATGTGAACATCTACACGCTTTTTGCCTCAGATAGGCTCCCTAATTTCACCCAGGGACAATATCCTCAAAGATTTCACCCCATAAGCAATATCCTCCGAATTTCACCCAAGGTGAAAGAGTAAAAAGAAAAAAATTAAACCCGGAGGTCTATCTGCAAAACTATTGAGGTAGAAAGTTCAAAACATTGATACCGCATGGGTATATGTGCAATTAACTAGCTATTAAGAACACATGAGACGGCGACGAGCTAGGAATTTAGGACAATGAATTTAGGACTATTAAAAAGCTCAGAAGCCCAGAGAATGCGAAGTTAAAGTCATCCAAATTCTTTATGGACTGCTAGTATACAAACCAATATATAAGGAGCCAACAATGCGTCTCTGTGTTTTTTTTTAACGAATGCTCGTGTAGACTTACTGTTAGACATTCAACTTACACTTACACCTTGTTTGGATGGAAGTTAAAGTGAAATTTCAATTTCACCTAGTTTGGGAGTTTTTTTGAGGGGTTAGAGGATGGAATGGAAGGTTAAATTTCCTTCCATTTTCGTGTCCAAAGGATGGAATACAAGGAAAAATTTGGTGTCCATGTGAGTGGGGGCCACGGGGTTGTGAACGTGAGCGCTTGAGACAGCCACCCATGTGAAGATTCTTTCAATGACCCGCTGGTTAAAGTTTTGTGCGGATGCCGTGCGGCCCATGAAACAAAAACAAGCAGAGGCGGAATTAATATATAAACCCTTGCCTAGGGTTTCGTGAAGGGCTGTGCAAGTTGAGGGTTTCATTGTTTGTGGCTGTAGAAAAAACGACGACAGTGCGTGTGCAAGGCAGAGGTGCGAAAGCTGCTGTCCTTTTGAGAAGAAACGCAGAGGAGTTGCCGGCTTTTGAGAGGGTTTTGTCATCCTTTGTGAGAGATTTTTGTGTGAGGGATCTGAGAGTTTGTGAGAGGGTTTAGGTTGTGAGATTGTAAACCTTTATTGTATCTCTCCCTCTATTAGTAGATCTCCCCCTCCTTGTCCCGTGGACGTAGGCTATTTGCCGAACCACGTAAAAATTTGTGTTCTTACCATGATTTGTAATAGCTTATAGGTTCCCTCGACGCGCAGTCCTAGAGCTGACGAGAGGAAGAACTGATATCTCACTTTGATAAGATATCTGGCTTTTGGTTCTTGTTTCCTTTGAGAAACGAGAATTCCGTTGTGATCTAAGCTCTTGTTGTGCACCTTGCGCACCGGAGGTGCTGCCGAAATTTCCGCTGCGCACAACAAGTGGTATCAGAGCTCCGGGTTGGACTTGGGAGCTTGTTTGAAGGATTCGCTGAAGGATTCCTATTTGAAGATTAGATCGACAACATGGGTGAAACAAGCACATCGGGATCGTCTCTTACGAAGACGATACATAGTTTGAGCATCAATAACATGAAGATTGATGTTCCGAAGTTCGACGGCAAGATTAACTTCGGATTGTGGAGGTGTCAGGTGATGGACGCCTTGGACGCTCAGAATTTGGAGGAGACTCTTGAGTTACAAGGGAAACCTGCCGAGATGGAAGCTAAGGTTTGGAAGAAGATGAATAGTAGGGCGTGTGGAGTTATTCGGTCATGCTTGACGCCGGATCTTATTTATGACGTGATGAACGAGACGTCGGCGAAGAAGATGTGGGAAACACTCAATGAAAAGTATCTTACTAAGAGCATTGAGAATCGGCTTCACTTGAAGAAGAGGTTTTACCAGTTCAAGATGAAGAGGGGAGTTTCCATTAGGGAGCATGTTAACAACTTCACAAAGCTACTTTCAGACATGGCTAATGTGGATATCATGGTTGAGGATGAAGACAACACGATGCTACTTTTGTGTTCATTGCTCGAGGATGATTATGGTACTTTTGTCCTAACTATGATTAATGGAAGAACTACTGTTAGTTACAAGGAGGTGACCTCAGCATTGGTGAATTATGAGTTGAGGAAGAGTGTTGATGAGTCCTCCGAGAAGGCATCGGGAGATGCATTAGTAGTTCATGGCCGTGGTTCAAACCGAAGCAGAAGGTCGCGGTCTAGAGGTGCACATCGTGGGATTCATAGGAATCAATGTGCCTTTTGTAAAGAGGATGGACATTGGAAAGCCGAATGCCCAAAGTTAGATCGAGCCGAGAAGAATAAGGGGAAAGCTGTACAAACTTCAGAGGTGAATGTTGTCAAGAATAGTGGCGACAATTCAGATTCGGATTCTTCGGGCTATTCGTTGTCTGCACTACCGTCAGTTTGTGTTGCCAACTCTACAGAGTGGATGTTGGATTCGGGTGCTTCATACCACGTTTGCCCTAGGAGGGATTGGTTCTCCAGCTTTCAGAAGTTGGAAAGAGAGGATGTTGTGCTCATGGGTAATGGACATGCATGCTCTATTGGTGGTATTGGTACCGTTCGGATTAAGATGAGTGACGGGATGGTACGGGAGTTGGAAGAAGTGAGGTTCGTTCCGCAGTTGTCGAAGAACATCATTTCACTAGGAGCTTTGGTGACATCTGGCTATAAAGTGACCTTGGTGGATGCACGTTTGAAGGTCACATCGGGGTCCATGATTGTGATGAAGGGCATCAGAAGGAGCAATTTGTATTATTTACTTGGAAGCACGACGATTGATAGCGAGATGACGACTTCATCAGATTCGGCTAGACTGTGGCGTTGTTTGATGCTGGGTTATTTGATTGGTAATGCCGTGCATAGGTTGTTGAGGAGTGCTATGACCTGCAGTTTGAAGTCCTGTGAACCCATTGGTATGAGCGAGAAGACCGAGATGGAGTTTGGCACTTCTATCCATCATTCGAGGGGTTTTCTGAGGGGTGTTCATTCAGGCATTCGGGAGCCTTCCAAGAGAGCATCATTGGGAGGTAATAGGTATGTGGTTTTCACAGTTGGAGATTGCTCTAGGCATTGGTGAGTTGCAACCAAGTCCCGTTGGTGTGAAGTCCTAGAAGCACGTAACAAATGGAGGAAGTGTATTGGCAGAAAGGTGAAGGTACTTCAGTCTGATGTTAGAGGGAGGTACAAGAGGGACCTATTTATGCATTTGTGCCGAGCTCACGGCAATTGGAGACACTTCATTGGTATGGAAACTTTGAGGTGACGTGATGAGATGGCAGATTTGGGGAGCTTTTCCTTTCTGGAGGAGGATCGGTGTTTGATGTCGAGCATTGGCATTAGTGTGCGGGCTACGACATGTTTGGGCCATCTTTGTTGGCCTCTTTGTTTTGATGATGTTTAACAAACAATTTACTACTAATGTTATTTGTCTAGTATTTGTACATTCTTATATATTGTAGACAAACAACGTTGTTGGAGGTTGGATGGATTAAGCCTACACGATCATATCAAGAGGAGGTTGGCGGAATTGTGGAGTGAAGCAACATACAATTCAAGTTAAAGATCAAGTTCAAGCTTCATCCGCAAAGTTTACCAAGTCATGCTCATTGAAGACCTTCATCAAGCTTGGGTATATTTAGTATAGGTTTATATTATGTGTGTTAATTCTATAAGCTCAAACATACACACACATATATATTTGTGATTTTCGTAACTATAAGTGTTTTTATGCAAAATAAGTTTTGGACTATATTTACATCATAAACAACTTTTATTATGTCCATATAAATATTCCATAAGTTTTCAAAACTTGTTTTGAGTCAAAAATAACAATCACATGTTTTTCATATATACGTCTTTTAGTACTTTTGCAGAATACAGTGTTTTTTCACAAATTATAAATGCAAATTGAGAAACTCTTTTTCTAACATGTTTGTTTTCATGTTTACAAACATTTCGCAAAGTTTCATCAAGTTTGGAATTGATTTGTTATGTTTAATGGAATTTACAAAATCATGTTTTTCATTCGTGCATGTTCGTGCATGTTTTACAAAACAGATGAGTTTTCATAAATGGGAAGTGATATTCAAGAAATTCTTTCTTTGACATGTTTAGAAACTTCCCTCAAAATTTTACTATTTTTGGAGTTGATTTACTGTGCCTAATTGATTTTACAAAATCGTATATGTTAACAGTTTTTCAGAAACTGTAAATTTGTGTTCAAATATTTATTTCTATCAACTGGGAAAAGATTTTTCAGAACTTCTTTCTCTGACATATTATTCTACATGTCTAGAACATTTCCACAAAATTTCATAATTTTTGGAGTTAATTTACTATTTTAAATTGATTTTACAAAATAGCTGCACACTGCTACAGTACTCCGGTCGACCGGACCGGTCGACCGGAAATGTCTCTGGAGGTTGGTTACTGTAGCTAACGGCTATATTTTATAGATTTATATATATCCATTATTTTGTCTTTTTGCTTGGTGTCATCTATTGAGAAGTTTCCCTAAACTCTTTTCTAGCTTTATATCTATTTGCTTGATTATCATCTTATTTAAAGTTAGTTTTACATTTGAGTTTAGTTGATTGTTTACACACCCACATGAGCTTAATGTATTTTCATACATAGTATATTTGGGTTGGTGAGAGTTGTAACAATTGAGTGTGAGCTTTCATTGTGTTCTCATCCATAGTAGAGAACAAACATTTATTGTATTGAGCCTTATTGTGAGATTCACTTTGTAATACACTTGTACACCGAGTGAGGAGTGTGTGGTGAGAGTCGGGGATCGTCCCAAGAGGAGTGGCGTCGGTTGACGAACCTAAGGAGAGGTTGTAACCGAGCACTTGAGGGAGACACGTCTAGTTCAACACTTAGTGGGTGTAGAGTGTGTTTACATAGTGTTTGTTGTGTGAGAGTTTTCGGTGTACTTGAAAACCGAGTGTGTAGAAGTTCCGGCTTCCAAACCGGATTGTTGATAGTGGATTTCTCCCCGGGAGTGGGGAGCGGAGACGTAGGACGGAAGGTCCGAACTCCGTGATCATTTGATTGTGTTTGAGTGTGCTTTGGCGTTCATTTCTATTTATGTTCATATCTTATATCGCCATTGTGCATTGCTCATATCATCCACTATCTTGTTTAGATTATCTACCCTTGTGTTGTTTATATATCCTTGCACATATATTGCCTATATCTCATTATTAGGATATATCTTGTTGTTCATATTGCTTATCCTAGCTTACAAATATTGTTGTATTTCATACTTGCTTGGATAACTTGTTAATTAGTTTTAATTGGCATTTAAATCGGATTAGATTAGCATAAGACCCTAATCACCCCCCCTCTAGGGTCCAACAATCTTATGTATAGGTTGCTGACTGCTGCATGTAGAGATTTTGGATCTGGTGGAGCTGCTTCAGATTTTGGATTGCGTCGGATGTTTAG